TAGTGACGTGTCTTCAATAAAAACAGGTATTGGGTGGTCAAGTTCATTTCTATTTTCAGCTTCTGTATACTTAATTGGAGCTCTTATTCTTGCATTTATCACCGATTGGAAATTAGCATTGATCGTATTTATTGCACAGCCATTGACTTCATTTACATCCATTTGGCTATCGAAGGTAAGTGCATTTCGAGTTTTTTTCTTCTGAAGAGTATTTTCTTCAATCATCAGATGTTGAAATAATCACTTTTCTGTTCTTGAATCTATATTATGTTGTTATATGTTTGAATGAAGCAGTAAAAGTCATTTGAGAATTTTGTTTCAATCACATTTAATAGAGATGTTATGATCTGAAATTTATATGAATCTGTTTTTCATATGTATCTTCTATTTCTACGGAAAAAATGTAACGATGAAAACTGCTTCTTCTCATTGCATCAATCAAATTTTTTCAGTTCAATTCCCTGATTAAAGTATCATATTATTATTATTATTAATTATTCAGAATTTCAGCTGATGTAAATCAATTTGATAGAAAAATTACTTATTCTGAAACTATTATAAGTTTCTTTGCTTGGATGTTACATTTTATGTAACGCTTTCTTAAAATCTTATTTACAATATATTTTGAAAACTTTCATAAACTATTTTTTCATGATAAACTTTCAAAAATGCTTGCTTAATAAAATGATTTATTTTGCAATTTATCTTTCTTCCTGTCGATTCTGAAATCTATTTTACAAGTTCAAAATAAAAAAAAGCCGTGAAAAATTTGAGCCGCATTATGTTTAATTGTAGTCGACATTTAGATTTTTTTTCGAAACACGCTGGGAAATAATCTTTAAAGCTAAAAATGAGAAAAAAAAACTTGTTCCACAAGCTACATGATATATATATATGATCATGATGTTACGCGTTTTCAGATAATCATATATTTGGTTTTTGAACAATGAAATTTCGATTTTTACAGCGATGATATTATTTGATCATGTGAATCTCAGACTATTTGACTTTAGAAAGACGAACATTTTTTTTATAGTTTTTCAAGCTTTGAAGGCAAACATGTTTTTTGTTTCTCGTGGCATAGTAAACTAGCGTTGACGACACATGATGACAAAAACTTTGAAGTAATACTTCTGAACTTTCTAACATATTTTGATGAAAACAACTACTTGTATCTTTACTCATACTGGTAAAACATTTCATTGTATTTCTTCTTTTAATTTTAAAACTATTGATCTGAAAATGTTTGTTATCTAGAAACTCATACAAATGTATAGAAAGATTATGAAAAGTATTGAATTGAAAAATATTTGATTTACAATACAATTTAATGTGTTGTACATCATTAATTGCCGTATCGAATATTGCAAATTAATCTGTTCAAAGAATCCATCAAAATTACCTAACGAAGAAATAAAGGATGCCGTCGGTTAAGAAAAGTTTTGATATTTTAGATTGTTTAGTATGGGTTTAGTAGAGCATTGAATGGGCGATATTTCCATATATTATTTTTTCTCACGCCTTTTCAGTAACTGAGAAATTTCAGAATTTTTTTCAGATGACATTCGATAGAGCTTGAAATTCTCTACAAAACGACATATTTCAAATTCATACATCACACCTGACTGTAACTTTACAGGAGAAATCCTAGTAAAAATAAAGTATTTCTGAAAAATCAGCTTTATATATAACAACCCGCAGATCTGAGAGAAAGGCGTGCCGCAATGAGATATTTACAGAGAAACTTCTTGAATACTGGAGTGATAGAAATATGAAAAGATTTCACAAAAATATTCTGGCCGAAAAAAGTTATAGCCAAAATACTAAAGATTTTCTGCATAAAAAAGCATAAAATCTAATCTTGTTGCGTCCAGATTTTCGTTCTGTGTAGTTGTAATCACCGACTTACAGACATATTTGAAATCAGGATGAAAACCTGAGTCAAGTGGTGTATATTTCGATGTTTTTCATTGAATTTTTTTTCTCGATAATCTCGCCTGTGGTCCCCCTCAGGGTTCACCCAACCAATGCATTGAAACAAATTCAACTAGAAAATCATCCTAACGGTAAAAGAAGGAGTTCTTATCCTCTGAAAACTGGTAAGATATTAAAGTAATAGACATCTGAGTGATCAAACATGTACATTGACAACTTTTATTTTTTAACGGAACCCTGAGGGAGACCACAGGCGAGATTATCGAGAAAAAAAAATTCAATGAAAAACATCGAAATATACACCACTTGACTCAGGTTTTCATGCTGATTTCAAATATGACTGTAAATCGGTGATTACAACTACGCAGAACGAAAATCTGGACGCAACAAGATTAGATTTTATGCAAAAAATCTTTAGAATTTCGGCTATAACTTTTTTCAGCCAGAAGATTTTTGTGAAATCTTTTCATATTTCTATCACTCCAGTATTCAAAAAGTTTCTCTATAAATATCTCATTGCGGCACGCCTTTCTCTCAGATCTGTTGGTTGTTATATATAAAGCTGATTTTTCAGAAATGTTTTATTTTTACTAGGATTTCTCCTGTAAAGTTACAGTCAGGTGTGATGTATGAATTTGAAATATGTCGTTTTGTAGAGAATTTCAAGCTCTATCGAATGTCATCTGAAAAAAATTCTGAAATTTCTCAGTTACTGAAAAGGCGTGAGAAAAATTAAATATATGGAAACATAGGCTATTCAATGCTCTACTAAGCCCATACTAAACAATCTCAAATATCAAAACTTTTCTTAACCGACGGCATCCATTGATTCGAAAAAAGAAAAATATGATGCATAAAGCTCATTATTACGACTTCATGTAGAAAGCTTTCATAATTATTGTTAAAGAATAATCTCAGGTTTTTTTAGAAACAAAAGAAAATGATTGTCGACTTCTGAACTACAAGGCCTTGTAGAGAATTTGTTGGATCATCTTTTAGTTTGAAATGATCAGTGGAACTTCAGAATGTACATTATTGCATTTATAAAAGATTAGTTACTGAACTATCAGAAAGTTGACCGATAAAAAAAGCTTTTTACTTCCTATAACATGACAATGCAAATATCTACACAGAGAAATCTTATTGAAAAAAATTCGATCAATCTGCTATGCAAATATTATAAGAAAAATTTAATTACTAAAAAATTGTCAAGAAATGAATTTATTATTTAAGTTAATAGCTAAAACAAGTGCTCGAGAAAGAGAATCTTATGACCAAGCAGCAAAAATTGCCGAAGAAGTATTTACTGCTGTTCGGGCAGTGTTGGCATTCAACGCGCAAGCCAACGAGCAAGCACGGTAAGACAATATGCTATATTATCAGAATTAGTTGAAACATTCTCAAAAGTTCGACTGGTTCTTTTTTATTTTGTACTTGTAATATTGTTCTGAGATCAAATAGATGGAAACAATAAAGGAAAGCTAGCATTCTTCAACATAATTCTAAAACTAAAAAGCTATAGATGCCAAGTTCATTGTTTATGATTATTTTGTTTGCGAAAGAGCTTACATATGTTAAATTGTGAACGAAATTTTACACGAGTTAATCACCCAAATTCGAATCATTTATTTTAATTTTGAATAATTATCCAAAGAAAAAGAAAGTTATGTTAATAACCATCTGATCGCTTTTTAATTCACTCAATGACGATCGGAAATAACAGTTTCTAGCAATTAAAAAAATCATTTTTTAAGAGAAATTTATTTTAGTAAGGAAAATCTTGCTTTATTGAGTTTTTGGCGAAGTTCTCTTATCAGAAAAAATGGTTAACTTTCACAGTAGATAGGTGTTTATGAGTAGCATAGAAGATGTTTCCTTCCAGGAGATACTGAAGTCACATAAGGTAAACAAAACTTTCTGTTATGGCATTGCTTCTTCAGTATTGTTCGCTGTATCAATTAGAAAAGATTTTAAAAAAAATAATTAACATTTAAGAATAACAGATATGTGAAAAAATCGTTTCAGTTTCATCGAACACGCAACATTACAGAATTAGGGCAACTTCTTATGTTTTTTTAATAGAAAACTGAATTCAATAAAAATTAAGCTAGATCTTCCTACATGTATGAGTATATTCTTTTTTCGAAAAGTACGATGGAATACTGTTTGTGTTCAGCGATATGATGAACTTCTTATTAATGGTTCTGGTACATTTTGATGTAAGAAGCAGTTATCCATCATAAGATAAATTTCATATACGTATAATCGATCAATTATGTTACAACTCTTTCCACCTTGAATATTAAAAAATAAAATCTTATAGAAGTATGAAAGTAAAAATAAAGTTTCTAATTAATAGGACATGCAATAAAAGATCTTTTGAGATAAGTCAACAGTGAAAAACAAAAAATTTTATCTGCACGCCTTCAAAAACGATGGATTAATAAAATTAAAGCGTTGTTTTTTTACAGTTGTCAAAAATATCACGGTATTTGGGCAAAGTTTCGTACATATAATCTTAGTTCAAGACTTTGTTCATAGAAACCATACTCAGTTTTTAGATTGTCAGCAAAAATTTCATGCTTAAAATGTGCCACTTCTTTCATTTCAAAATAAGACTTTCCACTATTCGAAATTCTAATAAAATTGCCATAACTGAGGAACTAAACTTCTTGAAAATGAATCAATCTATAATCTTTCTGGTTTTCATGGGCTTAGAGATATAAGACAGGAAAATCAAAATTGTTTTATAAATTCAAGAAATTTCCCTCTTCAGACCAACTCTAGTGATAAACCATCTTAGAATTCGATTGATAGTCCTTTTCATTCAAATATGATAGATACGCTTCGAAACTTGATGGTACTAACAAATATGCTGTTCGAAAAGGATTATTTTATGGAGTCAGTATTGGACTAGTATCAACGATTGTCTATTGGACGACTGCTCTTGGTCTTGTATCGGGAGCATGGCTCATAAATAGTGGAAATCATGCAACACTCAATATTGGTAAAATAATGATCGTAAGTTATTCTTCATATGTTAATACTGAGTTGTGTACAGTTGCATGACTATTGATATGAATATATTGTCACAGGTTGTCACAGTCATTACTGATGGTATGGAATTTATTGGTGTTATTTCTCCCTGTTTAAAAGATTTTGTTGATGCATGTACTCTTATTTTGCCTATAACGATACACATCGATGAAGCTAAGGTAATTACATTCGTTTTTTTTTGCTTTTTACCATTTTCGATTTGATTTTGATTATTATTTCGCATACATATTGTCGTAATTAATGAATCGAAATTTGGTAAAAAGGATATTCATAGAAAGTTACCAGTATAAGTACTGTATGAAATTAATCATAAGAGAGTATTGGGTCAATGGGATTCAAACAACTATTTATTAACTCATATGCATTTTCGAATATCTCTAGAATATATAATTATTACATAGTAGTCAATGAGAACTCAGTTATATTCTGTAGAACGAAAAAAATTGAGAAAACTAAATCGCTTATTCAATATGTGTATCTGTTAGATTTCAAAGACTTACAGTTATAATTGAGGGTATACTTGAAATTTTCATTCTATCTTAGGCTCAAGTCAAACCATTAACAAGACAGCTTGAAATTTCAAGAAAACAATTAACTAATGAAAATGCAATAAAGTTAACTACTGACCAACCAATCAAAGTCACTTTTGAAAATGTTTCATTTTCATATCCAAGTAGAAAAGAAGAAACTATATTGCATAATGTATCATTTACAATTGATGCTGGTAAAACAATGGCACTTGTAGGAAGTTCAGGAAGTGGTAAGACTAGCTATGAATCCATCCATTTTCAGCGATGTTTTTCTTCCTTTGTTTATAACAAACTAAAAAGGTAAAAGTACATGTGTTCAACTTGTTCTTCGTTTCTATGAACCAACCGATGGTCGAATCAAAATTAATGAGCATGATATTACAGAGTTTGATATTTATAATTACAATCAAGCTATAGGAGTTGTTAGTCAGGAACCGGTAGTATTCACAAGAATATTACATATTCAAAACTTTGAATAGTTTTAATATTTAAACACAGATATTATTTGCAAGTTCAATTCAAGATAATATTCGAATTGGTAGAAATGACGCAACACAAGATGATGTTATTGAAGCAGCTAAACAAGCTCATGCTCATGATTTCATCATGCAGTTACCTCAAGTAATAATATTTTTGTTATGAATTATTATTAGACACTTAAGTTAACAACTATTCGCATTGTTATTTTTCTTCAAGGGATATGAAACAATAATTTGTGATGGATGTATGACACTAAGTGGTGGTCAACGACAGCGTATTGCTTTAGCACGTGCTCTTATTCGTAGACCGTCTCTGCTTATTCTTGATGAAGCAACGAGTGCACTCGATTCTTCAAGCGAAAAGATTATACAACAAACACTTCAGCAAACTTCTAAAGGTCATAAATTTTTTTTTGTTTTTTTATTCGTTTGTTACAAGAAAAATAAAACAAACGATTTCTATATATTTAATATAGGTCGAACCACTCTGGTTATAGCTCATCGACTCTCGACCATACGCCATGCTGATTGGATACTTGTTTTGAAAGATGGTGTAGTTATTGAACAAGGTTCACATGATGATCTTATAGCTGCAAAGAATATTTACTTTGATCTCTTTAAAAACTATCAAGGAGAAACTCTCAATGTTCAACCAATAGAAGAAGCTAATATAAATCAATCTGAAGATAGTTCAACTGAAATCATTTTGGATCAAGAGATAAATAGTAAATTAAGACAATACTATTGTATTCATTTAATAGATATAAAATACCATAAAGAGCCCCACTAAATTTTCTCAAAAATGATGTAATTGTAATCTATGCTCTAACATAGTTTGATTTTCTAGCCTGAACTTTGAAAATCCAAGCAATGTTCATAAATACCTTCTCTTTTCATTAAGTTAAAAGCTTATGCCCATGAGAATCATATTTCATACTTTTAACCCAGATTTCGTGAGATAAACAATGTAAGCAACTTAAAAATATGATAGTGTATCGATCCCCCAAACTGTATCTAAAACGTAAATTAATCACTGTTAGAATGACTCAAGAACGACTACTTGTAGTGTATCGATAGTTCCAATTTTGTTGAAGTTATTCTACAAGAATACACAAGTAGTAATGTTTTATCATAAATATATTCAAAATAAATCTTTTATAGGTGTTCTAACGGAGAAAAACGAAGAAATCAAAGAATCATTTGTAAAAGAAGAAACAGAACTTCTGATTGATGAGGTACATCATATTTTTTTTTGTCTTGTATCACCATAAGTAAAAAATATATTCTATTAAAGTCATCTCCCGGTTCATTACATTCACTAATCAATCTATTGAAACTCAACAGTCCTGAATGGCCTTACTTAGTTATTGCTAGTATATTTGTGCTAGCGTCATGTGCAGTGAGTCCAGCGTATTCCATCTCTTTGGTCGAAGCTATCCGTGTGAGTCATAAATAAAAAAAATCATTGCCCCTCATCGACTAAACATTTATAATAAACATATATGTTTATAGGCCTTCAATGAATGTACTACTTCGGCACGAATGAAGAAATTATACGTTTTTACATCGATTATGTTCGTATTAGGTATTGCTGTTGTTGTATTCAGAATTATTGAAGTAAGATTTGATGATGAGTATGAAGTAAAATAATAAGAATTTATATCATCATAAGTTACATTTTAAGTTTCAGTCAACTAGAGCTATCATTTTAGAAATCTTTTATTTCAAATAAATTTTCGGATTCATCGTTTTTTGAATGCCGTTGTCTGTTGTAACACTTACTAGTCATTTATGGCTATTACTTCTAATTTTTGTTAACAATATCTAAATCTTTGAGAAAAGATCCACGTTACTACATATCTCTCAGAACGAGCATTTGACATGTTTTTGCTTTATATTAGAAAATCAAGAACAGTAGTTTCTTTGATAATATGAATTGATTCACATCTATATACTTGATACAGAGTCTCTTAAATTTTCTTTTTACAATTTCGATTCCTCTAGTATGACACAGAATGAGATTGAAATCGAAATTCATCGATTGAAGCCATGTCTTTTTTTCTCAATATTCAAATATTTGAGATGAATTCCAAAAACTTTATGAATTTTTAAGACTCGCTTTAAAAGATCCTTATATCTTTAGTTTACGGACAATGACGCAAAATTATAGCAAATAATGATGTTTTTCGTTATTTATGTAGCTCAATCAATAAATATCATTGAACTAGCATCTATGATAAGCTTCGAAGATTCGACAGAAAGAGATGAAGACGTATAAAGAAACTTTCAACATGAAATGAATGTAAATGTATAAATTAGGACTGCTTGTTTCGGATCATTTGTTTTATCGCATGTTAACAATATAGCTAGTTAGTATTTAGAAAAAAAAACAAATTCAACAGAAGAGTCATGGTGCCGTAGTTCTTGTGGTGATCGCAAGCTCACACAAATAAAATGTTAGACGAAAGAAGTATAGATATCACATCCTTTAAATACAGAAAAAGATCCAAGAAAATAATTGCATATCACTCCAAATAATGCTTGATCCTAAAGAGACTTTAAGTCTGCAAGAAATATTATTTTTAGTTCATCTATTTCTACAATTTCTAGGCCATGCCAATATCATGAGACATGCATTCAGATTATAATTATGTCATTTAAGCCATATTGATTCTGAGATAGCTGCAATATTAATACGTTTTCTTCCTCTGCTAATATAAAAATAGCTCTCTAGAACCAAGCATGCAGTACTGTCTACTACCTATATTGTAAAATAAAATATGTCACTTCTAATCAAAGAAGAAACAACAAAAAAATAAAATTATAAATAGATGTTCTTCTAAAGCATGTTTCTTATTTTCTATATCATTCATAGCAAGGTTGCCTGTCAGTGGCCGGTATTCGCTTAACCAATCGATTACGTATAAAAACACTTGAATGTATATTACGGCAGGAAGTTGCTTGGTTTGATGAAACTCAAAATGATGTTGGTTCTTTGTGTTCACAACTTTCTACAGATGCACATGAAATTCAGGAAGTAAGTATAATAATATTATCTCAAACTCTAATTTGTGTTTTTTTTCTAATGCATAATGAAGTAACTGTTAGTTAAAATTAGATGACTCATTGAATTTTAACATGATAATTTTATCTTAAAAATAACTATCATCTCGTTTATGGATTTGAATATTTCAGAATTATGTTCTTTTTTTGTCATACAAACTCAATAAGTTGAACCTAATTTAGACCACATACAAGTCGTATAGCTGCATAATTAATGTACTTAATTTATATGATTATCTTTACTTATATTAAATGTTTGAAAAACTCAGCTTCTACTATCAGATAATAACCGATGAAACTTCAAAGTTAATCACTATCTTGAAAGAATGAAACAAGAAAAATTATTGTTAGCTAT